AAGAAGGACAAGGGTGTTGCGCTATTATTCTTGAAAGCATTCTTTTAATCACAAACCTGATTGTAAATTGCAATTTAAGACTTGAATGTAATTGCCACAAATGAGAAAGCTTACTAAACTGAGAGGCATGGGCTGAGCTGAAAAGAGCGGTTAAATATCAGCTCATCTCATCTTCCCACTTTGTCAAAGTATCAAGACAGACTGTAATCTAGCCCCCGCCTAAATTGTTTATGCACATTTGCTTTCCTCTTTCAACCATTACTTGTTGTATGTGTGCTACCATTTATTGTGCAAAAGGAGGACTTTTCCCACCCAAATCATGATCATGCCGTGCAGGTCATAATCTCATAATGGCGACACCTTCTCCCTCATTGCTCGCCACTCCCCTTTTAATGCCACTTCTTACGGAGATGCGCAACTGATTATTCAAGTTTGCAGCACGCCTTGTTTTTAATAAAATAGGTGGTGTTTTCACCTCGCCTTTGACCGGTCACTGCAAGTTGCCAGCGCTTGATACAAATTTAAAAGTGCATCCAAGGTACCAGATCCGCCATCAAATTGCAGGTCGTCTTCTTCCTGATTCCTCATTGGAACAACTCATTGGTGGAATTCACTTTCGAATGTGCGACAGTGGCCGTCACGAGTAGGTGCAGCTGGTCGCAACTAAGAAGTGGCAAGTCCCAACCTCTCATATTTGCCTACTTGACACGTTCCATCGACCTGCTACGCCTCCACTTTGCCCCTTAACGCCTTGAAAGATAGAGTCTGCTGTTATGACAGCTTTGTTGAGTTAATAACGGTGCGATGGCTCAGTTGTATCTGTGCGAGCCACGTGATTCCTAAAGAAACCTCGGCCCAGTGCACCCATTACCGCTGGAAACCGCTGACCTAGTAAAAGATGGCTCAACAAATGGCCATCTGCTATGCCGACATGGATGACCCATCCACATACTACCAGATATTCTCCTCCACTTTCAACGCCATAGTACAAGCCATGTCATTGATTTTATCGTCACCAACAACAACAGCAGTGGCATCATCCACGGCAGTCCACCGCACATCTGGTCGTCACAGTTTCCATCTCCGTCACCGTTCCCAGTACAGCCGCTGCCGGAAGCCAGCACAGGGAGGTCTGTACGGCAAAACGAAGTCCTCTTACCATCATTCAAAATTTTTCAAATTACCGACGAAGGGCTATCTGGAAATAGGGTAATTTGGGTTTCCTTCCGATTTACTTGATAGGGTTCTTCCAACCCCATTTTACCTGTGACTTTCTTCAGCAAAAGGTATTTCATATTTTGGGGTATTTCCTGAGCGGACCTTGCCACCAAGACTTTAATGCCCATTCTTGTTTGAGGATACTCCAAAATGGTAGACAACATCGGTTGTATTCTGGCATAAAACTATCAGTCCTTGTCTTCATTTCCTCCGTGTTCTATTGGCAGTTAAAGAAAGTCTTCACAGCATGACATTAGTGTGGAGAGAGGAGGTGTTTCAACCTCCTTTTCTTCAGTATAGTTCCTGCAACACTAGGATTGATTATGCATTCTTTATCATACTTCTGTTGGGTGATTGGAGCAACACAACGGACAGTTACTCTACACAAACCTCAAAAGCTACAACCACTATCATTACCTTAAATTCTATGAGTTCCCATAACAACGGTGGCCAGCTCTTACTTCCCATTTCGGAGATCTGTTTCACCGAAGTAGAACGAAAATGCTATTTGGACCACCTGAACTATCTTCATTGCATGGACCAAACCAGTCATCTTATCTCATCCATCTGCTTGAGAAGAAGACGAGGCAGATGCGTGTTCACAACCATCACTGCGGCGTTGCACGTCCCCATCGCCCCACCGCAACTCGCATTCCATAGTTTGAAAAATGAGGATATGCCCAAACGAATTTGCATAGCTGTCTATGCTACCGCATCATCTCTGTCCCTCGAAGTAGACATGAAAGACCAGAACGTGGATAGCTAAGTTGGTTCAGGCATATGCATTATTGTGTGTGGGAGAAAGAGGGTCAGAAATTAAAGCAGCTGCCCAATGGGTGAAGAACCGCTTCGGAGGTGAGGATGAAGCAGTAATCTCACTCTGATGATTCAAGACAAAAGAGGTAGGAAAAGGCCGGAGTGCAATCGAAGGCAAGGACGGTATCGTTGTGGTCCTTATTAATTCTGTCCACGTCCTCTGAGAGGTATTAATGACTACCACCTTTTTTCGATGTTTGCATTAAATATTTGGCTGAACAAAAGTAATGAGAGGGATGGAAAGAAAGCTGAACACGTAAGGATCTTTCTCAATTTTTAATGACAAAACGTTGTTTGAAAGGGTGATATTTAGATAGTTCTATTTTTTCAACAAGGAAAATGTTGTGAGGCACTTTCTACAGGCATTAAATTTCCACAAAATTATCTGGTTACCTTACGAACACCTCACAAATCACACATGCGCACACCAACTTATGGAATATCAGTAGACTAGGGCATCACGAAGATTCAGTTTCCAGTTCACCATCGTTGTTAGTTCACGTTAAAATGCATTTGGGGAGCAGTGGCAGCAGTGATCGGTTTATAGAAGGCCTCTGTGTAGTATCAAAGTCTCTCATGTTGGAGTGACATGGTGTTACTACAAATATGTTTGTTTCCCATTTAAATTAAATTCAAACGGCTTTTTAAGAGTTTTATTTTACCTACTGAGGGTGGTTCGGCATTGTCTTGGTAAGCTCGGATGGACCCACACTTGGCTGCTCTCACTCGCGTCCTCTAATTAGTCGCAGCTCCGTTCACTTCGAGACAATTCGCAAAGGGGCATTAACTGGTATCAAACATTTCGGTAAATTTAAAAGTTAGAGGCAGTCTTCGACTATCGTCGGTTTGTCTCAGAAAGGTTACCCTCTTTTGGTAAAACACAGGATAAGTTGTTTCTTCGAGCGCGTCCAGGAGAGTGGAGAATGTAGCTACTGCTGGGCCATCCAGTGGCATGCGGTATTGGGTCAGTCTTGAAGCGTCCCGAGACCTCCCTGCATTTAGCATACAGAAGCGTTTGGGGCTACTGGCATTGTCCGGAGACCAGCCGAATCGGCGAGGGTGCATTGGCCGAGACACAAAGTGGCCCTCTGCTAAAACCGAGAGCCAAACCAGCGTATTGCAATAAAAGGTTATGTTAATTGAAAGGGAAATTTACTGCTTATGTACAGATTGGTTACAAGGTGAACGCATGCGTGGAATGTAATGTGGAATAGAGGAAACTGGGAGTGCGGAGACAGAAGTGCGTGCACGGGTAGTCATAGAATTCAAACACATCCTTCTACTACCAGTAGTGAATCTGCTGATCGAAATCTAGGAAACTTCCATAAGACAGCTCGATTCTTGCTCGGTCGAATAAATCGCCTCCATAATTCGGACATCCAAGCAAAAGTGAACTCATTTGTAGGTGACATCAGTGATGCCGATAGGGATGATGGAAGACGTGTTAGGAAAAGAAGACGTGGTGCTGGCGCCAGAATCCCCTCCACCAGCAGTTGCTGCAGGAGGGTTTGCCGAGTTCTAAGCCCCCATTCTGGTGGAAATGTTCTAAGTGGGACGAATGAGGACTGGGAGTGTTTGATGTGGATGGAACGGTTTCAGTTGAAGCAGAACCGTTGTCACGACGATGACATGATTCATTCCCTTTGTCATTCCATTTCTGCATCTCCGTTTCCGTGACCTTCCAAAACTTTTACGTTAAGATACATCCGTGGACTACAACATTAAAGCGAGATAGGATTGCTGAAATTCGTAGACAAAAGGGGAAATACCTGGTGCTTTGGGGCTATAGGTGGCCTGTAGATACAAATGGGCGAAATTTTGTGCATCGAATGTATTTCAACTCCCCAGGTTCGCCACATTACCCCGAGATTTGCCTTGGTGCACTGAGGTTTGGAGTTGAGAGACGCTTCTGCTCTAATATCTGCCGCTGTGGCCTCGTTAATGGTTTCTCACATAAAATGGGACAAATATGGAATTCGAATAAGAAATACCACCCCCAGAATTGGTCCTTACGACTTGACTATGCAGCGATATTGATACCCATGAAACACCTAGATCAAATCTCATCAAACCTGGAATCACCCATTGCCTATTCACTTGGTCCGGATCCACCTTTTTACCCATTTTACGCACATCTGGCCATCAATCCACTGCAGACCCACACTCTGCCATCAGGACGCTCCTATTTTGGATCCCTTCCTGCATTATACTACTGTAACCCATTCAATTGTCCATCCTCAATTGAAAAAAGGCGACGACTGACTTCTTTGGATAGTATTGCATTAATCCTTCATGCCATATGCGACCAATGATTTGACCCTTAAACCTATTTTACCCCTTTGTCCACCCATCCATCCATACATGCATCTACCCAATGCGAATGAAGGCAGGCGAGGTGATGGCACATAAATAATGTCAAGATGTGCTAAGGTTACATGTAGGTAGAGCAAAATACGGAGGGTAGCAGGAATAACCCATGTCTAGCACGTTGCAGATGCACATTCCATGTTCATCTTCCACCCTCGAATTAGTCGATGGAGACTGTGTGTGAAGGCGAGACATCGTGCAGCGTCGTGGTCGGCGTCACGGAGTAAACCATACGGTATTTCCACCTCCCCTTTGACTGACCAACGCATGCTGCGAGTGGATGACACGGATTACGGTGTGCATCCAGAATACTGAGCTTGACATCCGAATAAATGTCATCTTCCTCTTGATCCACTATACGAAAAATTCACCGATCAATCCCCATTTTGAACCTTCTACATCTTCTGTCGGGAGGAATTTTAGCTGTCGAAAGGTAGGGCGTTGTGAGTACCTCCCAGTTTCAGCTGCACCTCGTCCTTACTCGTCAATCGGTAAGTTAGTTTGGTGAAAATCGGAGGGGAAAAACTTCTTTGTGCTGATCTGAAGTGGGATAAACTGATGTTTATAAACATCGAAATGGTGGAAACTAATGATTCAAAATGACCAGTTTTGGGGTAAGTTAATTCATTCCGCGATGATTGAACCCTTTTATAATGTAAATTAGTGAAGTAGAGAGCCCACTTCTGTGTTTAGAAGTGGTCCGTAATTGTGTTGATTTGTCTAGAGCTTGACTACCCAGATGTCCACGAAAAAATAGAACCATCTAAGCATGGGTATTTAAGGTGGCAGCACCTGCTATTGTATATTTATCTGCCTGCTTTGTACTCAGCAAATCATTGTGGCATTTAGTGTTTGATGGCTGTCTTCCTATTTATAAAAACAAAACAGCCTCTTCCTAAATTCACTCTAAGAGGCGTTGTCCTTGAATGTGATCATATTCCAGGGGTTGATTGGTTGATGGCTATTCTGTTAATGCAATAGCGTTCATTTCGTTGGTCCGATGACTTAATGGAAAGCCGCTTCTCACTTCATATCTGATGTTATTATACTCTCGCCTAATGTTTAGCTGAAAATCGGATTTGTCTTGAAGTTGGAAACGCCCGATGCACGGTTTCCATCCATTCGAACACCTAAAAACTCCTCTTAAGGCAAAATTTTCTTTGTCAAAATTGCATGTGAAAAAGACGAACAATCCAGCTTCATTTCTGGGTATACTGGAAAACTGCTTTTTAATTCAAGCGCCGAAAATTCTGACTGAGGTTGTGTAAAGCTGTGAAATAGTTGTGTTATGGAAATGCCATTCGTTTCAAGGGTGGTCTGTTCCACTGCACTGCTAGCATTTTCCACCTCACCGTTATTTGCATGTCAACACTTAATGCAACGTCAATGTCATGCTGATGTCTGTCACACCACATGGTGGTAACGAAGCTGGCACCCCACAACTTGTAGTTTAGGTGTAAATGGCAGAGAGTCGGCTTACAAGAGGCCACATATTCCACCTTTCCTCATGCCATCCCGTCGTGGCAGCTCGGCTGCTAAACTGACCTGCCTTATGGTCAATTTTAGTAATAAACATGATTGGCGGAAGCCCCTTCTCGTTTCCAGATAACCGCATGGTGGTTATGGCCCTCTCCTTACCGGCCAGTGCATGGTGGGACCTCAGTATATGGGCCATAAGGTGCATGCAGAGAACCAAATTGGCAATTTGATTGCAGGACGTCATTCTCCTAATCCTCCACTGAAACAACTCATTAGTGAAATTCTCTTTTGCCTACTCTACAACCGCTGTCAAGAGGAGGCTCAATTGGTCGCTAGTGTAAATTTGTGTGTCCTCTCCCTTTAACTTGCCCTTTTCACAAATTTGTGGCTTATTCAATCCCAATTTTCCTTATACAGCATTTGAACGATAGAGTGCAGCAAGGATAAGGAGAGTTGGAGAAGCGATCATGATTGATTTTAAACGACAAACACCATCCAGTATGGTGGTACCTGGCTGCTATGTGATGGTTGATTAGTCCAAATTAGTGTAGCATGCTGTCATTTCGTCACCTTATTCGCTCAACTAAACGTATTCTAAAGTTTGTAGGTGTCAGACTTTCAATCGACCCCCGCCCCGCCGCTTTTCAGGAACATGATTATGCCACTCCAGATTCTTCGTGTGAGATCACCGATTCTGGTTGTGCCTGCAGACAGACAACATCAACTCCCTATTTAACACTGCCCTATATGGTACCATTTCGACCAAAGCGCAGTCTGGCTGTAGGAGTTGGTCAAGATATTGAAGATTGCAAGCAGAAAGGATGGGACAGGCTTGGACAAAATGACTCACATCCGGTGGTTATCTGGTAGACACCTATTGAGAAGCTAAAGGAGGATATCCTCAGTGAGTGCCTTCGGCAAGGGAGCCGTAGACACCCTTCCTCTAACGCGACTGCGGATGCGGTACTCAGACAGCACATTGTCGTGGTATCCTGTGCTAGTGGTACGCTATCAGGGGAAGTGGTTGTCTTGTGAAGCTCACCGAATAGGATGGCAAAATATATTCTAGCTGGAATATTAACACCAAAGCGTAGATAAATGCATCATTTGGCCTGTTTTGTGATAAAGATAATCCTGCTATGTTTAGTTAATTACCCAGTGTTACTTAAACGCGGCGACCTCAACAGCTACCAAAGTAAGGGTGGAATGAGGCCAGAAAAATGTCTGGGAAAGGTCGTGAACGGATGAGTAGAGGTGTAACATAGGATGGATATAAATAAGAAATTAAGAATAGGTGGGTGGACGAATCGATGCGGGATTGAGGGGTGAGTGAATGGTTTGGAAACAGCTTAATTCAGACTAAAGGAAAGTGGAAAAGCAAAGAGAGCCTGAAGGTCAAATTGCTAGGTGAGCGTCAAGTGCTGGCCTAATGGTTAAGGCAAGAATTTCCGTTCATGGAGGCCCTTTCTGCTCTGTATTGTTTAACGAAATGTAAAAAATTGACTTTAGGACCTTAATCAAACCCAAAAAGCACTCCAGCAAAAGCTCACGTCTAACTCGTTAACATCGATACTTTCCTTTGAATTCGCCTACTATTTCCTCTGATTTCCGCAGATTCGTCATGACATTGAGATTCTTTTAACATTTTTTGAAAATCAGAAATAACAAAACTCGGTCGCGGTAGAGGTGTTTGTAGTGCTGTTGCAAATTCTACCACTTTAACCGCATATAACATTTGGGTACGTCCTCACATCCGCCGCGGTCCAGATTGTCCGCCTTACCGATTGCTCAGGTCTCTGCTGATTCTATTGCCGCTGTAGCAGCTGCTGTCGGCTGTAATTCTAGAGATAATCTTTTGTCCTCCCTTTCCTCAACAATCTTATCTTCCCCATCAATCCAAAAACCTTTCTATTTATTTCTACAAGCTGGGTCTCTACTCTTACCACCGTCCTCTAATTTTACGCCCGAGTAGCCACTATTGACGACGTCATGACAAAGGCGATGAAGATATCTTCGCTTTGAATTCCCCCTTCTCTTCTCCACTCATTTTAACTTTTCCTTTCTTGGATGCAACCACCTTCCTTCCCTTCTCCTGATGCCCACCTATGCCTTCTCTAGGATTCGCTTCTTCTCCTGTCCATTTCTTGCTCCTTCCATTTTCTCTTCACATTGGCATCTCACAATTGCACGAGTGCACACCAGGTAACCAATGACAACGATGATGCCACAAATCACTTTCATCTCTCCATTTGGGCACAAATACTAAAATTTATCACAATTTTACTAACTTATACGCTACTAATTCTGCATCCGCTTATTCGTCGTCTTCACACGGTGGAGAAGGGTTCACAATGCCTTGGTATCAAAATGATGCAAGATTGTGGAGGGGACTTGAGAATGTTTGTCCGTTTGGAGGGTGACAACCGTTGCATGCTAAATCTACACGATATGAAGAGTATCTCCAGATCAACATATCACTCCACATTCGTCCACTTCTCCTCGTCACCATTTCCGTGCTGACAAATCATCCATGCTTATTACTCTTCCCACCAATTATCACAGTTGTGTTCAAAGTATTAACTACAAGATAAGAAAAAAAACATCAAGTGACCTGAGAATGAAAGCTGGTGGGGGAGAATCATGCAAAACGCAGAGTATATTAAACTTAGTCATCGTACCTGTAAAGGGGGCTCCCACGGCTTATTGGACTTAGTGTCCTAAGGAAGTCTAAATAGAAAGAGAAAATCACCACTTTATAGTCAAGTTCTATCCCTGCCAAGCTTCATGGCCTCTAGTTCTTCAAATTAACGGTTCTACAAATGCCTCGGATGCCCTAGTTGGTAATCACTTACCAGCACGAACTCCGACTCTTTTCAACCAGTTATTCCAGCCGAAATTCACTTCTTCGTGGTTGAAAATCTGGCAGCAAATACGGTAGAAATGATGGGAGGCAAGACTGGATATCGGGAAGCAGAGGAGGAAGGTGAAGAAAATCGACACAAATGTGTATAAACAGGGATGCCAAGTTAATGAATTTCAAGTGTGGGAGGGCAGCTACAACGTGCTGTCTCGGCACACAAAGAACAATGTAAATGTCTGCCTTAATGATAGGCAAGCGAGTAAGTAAGTGGGGGAATGCATTGCTGATGACGGCTTCACGGTGTTTTACTGAGCTGTGAGGAGGGAGACAAAGCGAGTGATAAGGTCTGCTTTAATTGAAAAGAAGAGTTCCGCTGCTGATATTAGAAGACGTGACCAAAAACTGTGGACGATGCGCCATACCAACGCCAACTTCTGTTCACCCCATTTAAAGGCGTTGGTTGTTGAGCATCAAGGCACCTTGGTAGCCGAGATTGGCGATTTGAAGGGGAAAAGCCGTAATGGCTGAGTTATGTGCCTGAAAGCAAGTCGCATCAAAGAGGTGACCAGGGTCCTCGTATCTACAACTGAGGGAATGAGTCTTGCTGGAGGAAGGGGGTTAATGTTATGACGGTGTGCTGCGCTGATCTACAAGGCTCACCGACACTCACCAGCTGTCCTCTTCCACTGTCATTGCCCGAATGCACGAACTTGCTTGGTTGCATTACCACCTTCATAGTGTATCAAACTCCAGTAAAAGGAATGAGGCATTCGCACCTTGATCACACAAACCACCCGCCACAGTGTCATTGGACTAGAGCAGCACGAGACGTCGATTTCCAGGCCATCTTTGTTGTTTCGTCCAACTTAGAGTGAACTCACGGAGTAGTAGTGGTAGAGGTCGGGTAATGGGGGACGCACAACTAAGGTGTGCGGATGAGTGTCGTGTATGTTTGGAGTCATTGGCGCTCTAACGCAAAAACCACTGCGATATATTAGAAGGTGATGGTTTGTCACCGTAGTCATAGTTATCTGCCCCTCCCCTCTTCAGTGTCATTATAATCCCGCAATGCAAGGAGACACCGAAACCGTAAGTTGAGCTTCGTGCCAAATGCTAAACACCTAGTGTGCAAACAAGTAGTTGACGTGATTCTTGTATCCATGGCTTCTGTCTACCTGGTCCTGTATTAATAAGCGTAGATTTGCTTGCCTATCCCAGGGAGACACAGGAGATGGAAACTGTTTGGAGATGCTGACAAACTTCTACTTGGCCATCCTCATGCCTTGAATGTCGACGTCGGCATCGCAACAGCGTCCACCACCACTATTACCACCACAGCAGCAATGGCCCTACTAGGCTAAATTCTACTTTCATTCCAAAGTCAGTAGTAAGACATAACAATACATATGGAGCAATTTTAAGTCAGAAATAGATGCAGAAGTAGGGCGATGAGATGTCTGTTTAATGGGCGTTTAGTGTTGACAATTTAGTTTGTACTATCCGCCACTGTTAAAAGAGGTGGCAATCATCTGTGGAGTCTCCAAGACTTCACTAATGCTAAGTGATAAGTGACTGTGCAGGACTAAGAAGGAGATGCCTCAGAAAAGGTTTGGCTTCTACTAAAATCACTTTCGGCAACTTTTTGTGAATGTTTTATCAACTGAATGTGATTTTTTCTTGGGCCTAGCTAAGCTCGAACTAGTGGACATTAGGACGATCTCACATGCACTCTCCAACTAATCACAGCGCATGGAATAGTGGGATTGAAGGACACCTGTTGTGCGCTGGATGAAATTCGCTCCTTCTTAATCATCCATTATGCCGGCACTTACTCTGGGCTGCCAAGTTTTTGCGTCAAAAGAAAGCTCGCTAATGCAAAATTAGCAGGTGCCACATCCAGTTCAAGAGTACCTGTCATACTGGTCTTATTTCAGTTTACTCGCCTAGCACCACATCAACATGGAATGACGACGCAAAACAATAGCCTCCTGAATTGCCCCCCCCCACCCACACCTGACCATATGATGACGCCCCGATGTACCACATAATAATCGCATTCGGACAAACCCCTCCCCATCCATATAGTTGTCAATCCTGCACCCAACTATCTGCCCGAGGTCGCATATCTGTCTAATTCTCTGAGAGTCCTATAAATCTGTTCCACTTTCCTTTACTACTGACCTTACTACCAATTTCTTTGGCGTGGATACC